CTGGAACTGGGTTTGGGCTCAATAGGTTCGATTTGATGAATGGGATATGGTAGAGGTTGATTCAAGGATTAGGATGGTTTAAATGATCAAAGTAACCATTTAGACCCTTAAATGGATATTGGGTTAACCAGGTTGACCCAGGGGCTGGGTCTAGGCTCAACAGGTTTGAAAATGATATTTTGAGTCTATTGAAGATGGTCGTAAGGTCTGGGGAAGTCATTTCAATCAAATTGACTTATTGGACTCTTAAGGGGCCTTTGGGTTAACCCTAGTTGACTTGGTTAACCAGGTTGACTCAAGATCTGGGATTGAGTTCAACATGTTTGGTTTGATGTTTTATGTTGAATGGAAGTGATTCCATGCAAAGAGGAGACCATTTGGTTTGAAATGAGTATTCAAATCCCCAAGGGGTATTTCGGTCAAAACTAGTTGAACTAGTCAACCAGGTTTGACCAGGGTTAGGGATTAAGTCTAATGTACTCCTTATAGTAATTAGAATGCATTGGAAGAGACTTTGAGGATTTATTTTAATAGCTCATATTAAAATATTTAGAAAACTCTAAAATTGCTCTAAAGGGGCATTTTGGTCATTTTGACCCCTAGTCAACTAGGGGTCAAAGTGGGTCCACCAAAATGCAGTTTACTACTCAACATATCATAATCAAGTGTTTAGATATGGTTAGAGACTTTGGATAAATCTCTAAGGTTGGAGGACTCCGGGGAGTGGACGTAGGTCATATTTTGACCGAACCACTATAAAAATCTTGGTGTGTTTGTTCTTTATCATTGTTTACTTTTTGCTTGCACTTTAATTTTTCATATCTATTGCACGTGGTTTTTTGATAAAGCAAAATTGCATTGATCTTTATTTTAATATTTCAAAACACAACAAAAAATTAGAACTCTTGTTTAGGGTTAATTTTTTATTAAGTGAAAACTTTTTACAATTCACCCCCCCTCTTGTCGTTTAGTAATTTCAATTGGTATCAGAGCGATTACAAGTTGTAAATATTTGAAGGTTTTATAGCCTTTGGATTTTAATTCAGTTTCCAAGGTTAGAGGCCTCCGATTGAGCTCCAATTTGGAGGGTGGACCCTAGGGACATGCCTAATCAAAATTTAATTAATATATCATGAATCGCAGGTCATTTAACTAGGGTTTGAGGTGTTTAAAAAATAATTGGAAAAGGTTTTACAACTTAGGCCTTTTGACTTGGATTTTGGTATGAATTTCTGGATTTGATCTAGATTTTTAATTTAGATGCTTAAATTTGAATTATCCAAATCATTAATAATCATTTAAATTATTATTAGTGATTAGAATAGGATTGAAGTCTAATAGCAAGCTTGATTAACTACAGTTTTGGTCGATTGAGGTTTGAATGGAGTTGAAATCTAGATAGGTTTGAAGTTTGGATAGGTTTGAAGTCTGGGCTTGATTTGAATCTGGATTGATCCAAGGGTATGAATTGATCTAAGGTCTGGATAGATACTAGGGTTTAGATTGATTTGGGGTTTGGATAGATCCTAGGGTCTAGATAGATTTTAGGGTCTGGATTGATCTAGTGTCTGGATTGATCCAAGTGAACTCATATAAAAATGAGGTCAATAAATGGACCCCCAATATTTTTTTTCTACTACACATATTGGCGTTGACCAAATTAAAGGGCCAAGTTTGGAGTTTTGATTCTAAGGAAGGGTAGAAATCTAATCCTAGGGAATCGAGTTTGAATTAATACTAGGGTAGTACCGGGAAAGGCGTACTCTACCAATAGTAGATTTAATCCTAAGGGAAGGGAATACCTAAAATCTAAGGAAAAGAAAGCTTCATTTTATAATTTGAAATGAAATTGAAACTAGGATGGTGCCATAGAGGACGTTCTCCACCACTAGTAGATCTAATCCTAAGGAAGGAAAGGACCTAACCTTAAGGAAAAGAAAATTGAATGATGGTATAGGAAGAAAGAACTCCAAACTACAGATGATCAAGTTTATATTTGAAATTAGGATAGTGCCATAGAGGGCATGCTCTATCACTAGAGCATTTAATACTAAGGCAAGAAAGCACGATGACTTACGTCAAGCCTTAAGGAGAAGGAAACTAGAAGATCATGTGGGAAGGAAGTAGTGCTTCCTACAGAGGATCAAATCTAGATTTTGAAATTAGGATGGTGCCATAGAGGGCATGATCCATCACTTATATGTCTAAACATAAGGTAAGAAATCATGATGACTGACGTCTAACCTTACAGAGAAGAAAATTGGAAGATTATGTGGGAAGGAAGCATTGATTCCCACAGAGAATTGGATTTGGATTTTGAAATTATGATGGTGCCATAGAGGCTGTGATCCATCACTAAGATGTCTAATCCTAAAGAAAGGAAGTATCTAACCTTAAGGAAGAGAATACTAGATGATTGTGTGGGAAGGAAGCGTTGCTTCTCACAGAGGATAGAGTTGAGGTTTGAAATTTGGATAGTGCCATAGAGGGCGTACTCCATCACTAATTAATTTGAACTTAAATGAGAAATCTATTCCCATATAAGGAAACTAGGACAGTGCCATGGAGGTCATACTCCATCACTAGTAGATCTAATCCTAAGAAAAGAAGGCACGATGACTCACATTTGTCCTTAAGGAAAAGAGAACCATAGGAAGTTGTGGGAAGGAAGCGTTGCTTCCCACAAAAGATCGGATCTAGAATTTGAAACTAGGATGGTTCCACAAAGGGTGTACTCCATCACTAGTAGATATAATCCTAAGGAAAGAAAGTATGATGACTCACATCTAACCTTAAGGAAAAAAGAATTGGATGATTGTATAGGAAGGATGCATTACTCCCCATAGAGGATCGGATTTAAAATTTGAAATTTGAAACTAGGATGATGCCACAGAGGGTATGCTCCACCAAGAGTGAATGATCATATGAGGAGGAAGTTTGCTCCACATAAGATCTAGACTGGGATTTGAAATTTAGGATGATGCCCTAGAGGGCTGAAAGTTCGCAAAGGTTATTAAACCTCTGTAAATTAGCCTAAGGCAAAACAAGAGGGAGGTGAATTGGTTATTTAAAAAAATTCTTTAAAGAATGAAAAATTAAAACCCCTTGATGCTGAAGTAGATCACTTTCACGATGATAAAAATCCTAGATTTCAAACACATAACAAATTTCAAAAAAAATGTGGAAATTAAATGCAAAAAAGTAAATAGAAAGAACACACCAGAATTATAGTGGTTTGGTCAACTTGACCTACATCCACTCTCCAGAAACCTCCTTTCCAGGTATTGCACTAACAGTAGTGTCTCTCCTTTTGTCCCCACAGCAAGGCAGAGAAGACTTTGCAAAATTTTTCTACCGACCCAATGAGGCAGAATACTTTAAATCCTTTTAATCCCTCCTAGAGTAAGTAGAGAACCTTAAAATCCTTTTACTCCCTCATGGAGTAGTAAGAGAACCTTGGGATTCTTTTTCACCTTCATGGTGAAGGTAGAGAACATTGGAATCCTTTTTCATCCTCTTAGTAAAGTGTAGAGAACCTTGGAATCCTTTTTCACCCTCCTGCGGATGGTAGTGAAACTAGATCTAATATTGATGAAAGTCTCCCCAAAGCCACCAAGGAACCAGAAAAGCAGTTTGAAGAAGATGGTGGAAACCTTGCTTGGCGCAACCTTTATGAATCCCTCATAACTCCCTCTCACAAGGATCTCTCTCTCTCCCATGCCTGTTGTAAATCTGGATTCAAGGATTATAATTTTGATGATAACAAGCATGTATGTGTTCTGTTTTGATTGATTAAACTTTCAGGTATAAAAGATCAAATGCAATTCGAGCCAATTCAAGATCAAGTCTGTATGTGTTTAAATGTATTTTTTCTTTCTTGAGTCAAATGTAATTGGTCTCCAAGCTAAGTGACCTTGCACACACACACTCATGGGGAGTTTTTCTGTGAGTTGGAGTTTCTACTTTATTTTGATCAAATCATCCTGGATGATATTCATATCATCCTAGATGATCCATTAAAGACAGAAACTCTAATTAGGGTTATCGCGTTAAGTTGATCTGATTAAGCAGATCGTCTTGGACGATCCTCCCATCGTACAGGATGATATGCTCAAATCAGAAACACTCAGCCGCTAGAATGATTTAGGCAAGTTTTTATTTTTGGATCTTTGATCTGATCGTCCCGGAAAATACGTGTATCGGCCTGGAAGATCCATTATAATCATGTCTAAATTAGTCAGGTGATTAAAGAAATTAATTAAGGTTTGATTGATTCGATCATATTGTCTTGGACGATTGCAAGATCATTCGGGCCGATCTATTAGAAATCTTGACCGTCCAATGCCTTTAACCTGGATGACCCGAACTGTGTTCTGGATGATTTTCTAGTTTTTGAACTAATCATACATTGGACATCCGCTGTCCTAGTACCACATGCTCTCATGAGGCCTTTTCTGAGAGCACTCCTACAAAATTATCAGATGTTAGATTTGGGAACCCTAACAAGTTTGGGTCCCATCTTTTGGAAAGAAGAAAGAAATTCTTAATTGTAAATATAATTAATAGCATCTTCAATAATCAAAATCTACAAATAAATCCATGTGATCCTAAATATCTTCTGTGAAAAAGAAACATTAGCACCATAAGTGTCGTGATTATATGAGATTTGAAGATTGAATTAAAGGTGCTTGAAATTATACTAACTTTTAATTGCCTCTAACACCTACTCTTTGTATCTTATAACCTAAAACATTCGGACTAATCTTGCATAGAGGCATCCTCATCCTCTTCTGTGTAAATGGGGTTGTAAATTAGCCAAACTTGAATGAGTATGCATCTTCAACTTGTTTGATCTTGAATTTATACATATTTCACTCGGATTCAAATATGCTTAAGAGTCAAGAATAGGGGCAGAATCAGCTTTATTTTATTTTTTTTGTTGGTGTGGGGGATCGTTGTACGCTTCGTAGATATGTCATTTCAGGGTGGTTCAACCTTGCTCAAGACATACCATTATCCACTTAAAAGTAGTATTATTTTCTATTTTGCAAGTTTACAAAAAAATCCAAAATCCCGTAGTCAACTTTATGATATTAATCAATCAAATCTAATGTTTTGAAATTGATTGATAAATTCCATCAAACAATAAATTGTCACCAACATCCAATCGAATATTTATGATTCCAGATTGTCATAAACTATCTATATATTGATTGAAATGGTTGGATGTGCTGATAAAAAAATATGACCACAATATACTTATAGAGATACCCCAACCAAGAAAAGATATAGGCTTGCATCACCAACTAAATCTATTATGCAAGGCATTAAGGGTAAGCTTCAACCATCACAAAATTTAGAGAAGTGGTTGTGACAAGCATTTATTACCAAATAATAAATTCATGATAAGATATTAATCCATTAAAATTTAGAATTGACAATGAACATTGGGTAAATTTTTTTTATTAAAAATTTCATTTTATTACAGTTAACACATCAAAAAAGGATTGGAAAAAAAATTTTAAACTTTAATGATATTTTTGCATTTTCATATTAGTTTACATGCAAATATAAAAATAAATATTTAACTCTATTAAAATTATCAGAAAACATTGAATAGTCGTAAAGCTGTTATGATTTATTAATTACTTTTTATAATTAAAATAAAGCAATTTGTTTATTTCATGAGTTGTTTTGTTTGGATCAATATAAAAGAGAACAGTCCAAAAATATGGTTTTTGTTTAGAAATATAAAAATAGAAAATAAATGATAAAACTCCAAAAAAAATATATATTGTATATGTTAAGTCAATGTAGAATAATACCTATTTATAGAGGGTCGAAGAACTCCTTTCTACAAGTATCAAACAATATGAATTTTAATTGTGAAGATATTTTCCATCCCCAAATAAATAATATTCAAGAAGGTCTAGAATAAGCAAAGATACCCAAACATAAATATGATTGTGATCTTAAAAAAAAGAAACAAAAAAGGTATCCCAAACAGTAATATTAAAAGAGAATATTACGCCAACTATAATATAATCAAACACAAAATTAAAGTGATATAAGTTTTAGAGTATGAACTGAAAACATATTTGAGATTGATTAGAAAAATTTATTAGTTTGACTGCAATGGTCGGAAGAGTGATGGAAGTATATATTGAAGCCTAAAACTGCATTTACTCAGCGATTGAAGTATATATTGAAGCCTAAAACTGCATTTACTCTCGTTATGTTTTGACGGGTATGTTAAGTACAAAACTTCAGAAGAATGTGGCATTATTCGCATTAACCCTTAAATTTGTGTAATTTAGGTTAAAATGTCACAATTAATGTTATTTTTTGGTGGAGAGCTACGCATGGGGGACGAGTTTACAGCGACATATATTGGTGGACAAAATCGACCAATCATTGTTGATTACGATATTTCACTTGCGATGCTGAAGGAAAGAGTTATGGGGGTGCTCAGGATTAATCCTTCAACAACTACTGTCAGCCTAACTTGTCGACTACGGCATAATGGTGGACACTGCGCAACACCTGTAAACGATGAAGAGGTTTGTGAGTTCATGTTGTTGGAAGCAAGAATTGATCCTGTCGTTGTGTACGTTGAGGCGAAACCAAACAATCATGGTGACGTTGCTGGTCCTTCAACTGAGATACAAATGTAAGCATGCAAAACTTTAGCTTCGGCATTTGTAGTGATAACCTTACTTAGTTTAAAACTTAAGCATAATAATTTTTTTTTAAGGTAGGCCCACCACGTGGTTTGGTGGAGGATTAAGTACAATTGAAATGCAGAACAATTTTTATGGTCAACTGAGTTTGTCAGAGCGTCAAACTATTGTGCAGCAACAACTGTCCTGACGACCTACTATAACCGAACCTTCAAAAAGAACACCTAGTAATATATTTGTAGAGAACCTAGTCTCTTCCTCATGCTACCCTCAATCAGAACTAAACGAAAATATTTCCTTACACGAAGATGACATTGATAACAACGATGAGGATTCCTACAAGACTATGGATAGTGGTAGTTATGATACAGGAGATAGTTCTAGTCAACCCGATACTGAACTACAGGAGACAATGTATAATTACACGAACAATGAAAATATCGGTGATGAGTTCATTCAAGAACATGCTCGACGAAATGCCGCTGGATTACAATCGATGGATGCGAATAATAATTTCGAGGATACCTTTAGAACAACTGAAGAATGGGATGGTAATGAACACTGTGATCCTCCTATCATCAATATTGTTAGCTCGACAGAAGCGACCATTCCATCGGAAGTTTATGAAGGACAAATCTTTCATAACAAAGAAGACTTACAAGCTGCAATTAATGGTTGGTCAATCGCACAAAATGTTCAGTACATAAATTCAACTTCCAATAAAACTCGGCTCACAATTTTATGTAGTCAACATAATAATGTGCATAGGCCCTGCTATTGGCGACTACATGCATCA